AAGTGCAATATATTTATCGCACAATCCGTTATAAACTTGTATACAGTGACCCATTAAGTGGTATAATCACTACATTAACCCCCCCCCCCATTCATTATATAATTTTATACATATTTATAGTGACCCACAATCAGTTATAAGCACGTTCAGTATATTAATATATTTTTTTTTCTAAAGATGAAGTAGAGAACAAGTGCCACTTTTTATTGAATTGTACAGAATACATGTACTTGAAATACATATCAGATTTATTTACTAGCATTTATCATATGTTAATTGCAACCCAGTTTTTTCTATGTTGGATCTTAATAATTAATTTTATTTTCCTTTTAACGCATTTTCCTTGGCACACTTAAAAATATTTATATTAATCATGCATGCAAATGCAATCTTTGTTGTACAGAAAACCGCTACGCATAAAATTTTTGTGCAGCGGTATATATCTTTTCTTTATTTTTTGTTAAAAGTGACATATAGGGCCGAGTGTTTGAATATTTGTATTACCGTTAATATTTCTGATATAATTGTATTATATGATAACACATGCCGCTATCATAAACGATTTACTTACTTATTTATCCAACAATTCTTTATATAAACATTGACCCACAATCAGTTATTATCAGGTGAGATAATTTATCCCACAATTCATTTTATATTTATAAACAGTAACTCACAATTAGTTTTAATCACGTGCAATATATTATTTCAAACTTCATAAAATGCATGTATACAGTGACCAACAATCAGTGAAAATCACGTGCAATATCATAATTATCCCACATCCATATAAACAGGGACTCACAAACTGGTACAATCACTACATTAACCCCCTTTCAATTCTTGATATGCATAATTATACAGTGGCCCGCAATCACTTTAATCACATGAAGTATATTTATAAAACAATTTATTATACATGTATACATATATTCAGTGACCAACAATTTATTTAGTTAAAAACTGGTGCAATATATATATCCCATATTTCAGTATATGCATATATATAGTGACCCACAAACAATAGGTTTTTACGGTATGAGCATTTATAAATATAGTGATACGCCAATATAATTCCGCCAGCAATATGCATGCAAACTCACTAATTTGTCCCATAATATATAATACATGTATATTCATATATACAGTGACCCGCATGCACAGTAACTATAGTTGTTGTCATTTTATAATATGCAAAAGTAATGTCCATGGTAAAACTGCTTCACTTTGAGATTGTGAATGCCTTTTACCTAATAAGATAATCCACAGAAAGACGTAAATTTAATTCCTTTTTTCAACGTCTTTTCCTCGCTTCATATTTACCAAACAGGTTCCCCTTTTTCTTTAGGAAGATATTCTATAATATGCAAAAGTTATGACCAAGGTAAAACTTCTTAATTTTGAGGTTGCGAATGTCTTTTACCTAATAAAATAATCCACACAAAGCCGAAAATTCAACTGCTTTTTTAACGTCTTTTTCTCGCTTCATAGACATGTATTTCCAATGTTGCCCATCGGAATTCAGCGCAGCACAAACGTCGTTAACCATTATGAAAATTAAAAATGTCATAACTCTGTCAAAAATCAATGAAGCGAAACGACATTTTAACTTGATCTGACACTTTTCAAGATACACTCACATACTAAATATCAGATCAATATCTGCAAGCGTTTCGAAAAAAGTGCGGAAAACCATGTAGGATAGACTGACAGATTGACAGACAGACAGTGACAGACAGATGCAGAGGAAACCTGTACTCCCCTCCAATTTCACCGGTAGGGGACTAAAAATGGTTATCTGACAACATGTAAAGATATGATAAAAGGTTGATATAAAGTCTGGGTACAGAACTGATCAGTCAATTATTGAACATCGTATTTTATTTTCCGAGTTTAAGATGGGTTAAGGGCTCTTGCAGTTTAATAGCTCTCTCTTAAAAGATAAAAGCTATATAAGTTTAGTGAAAGACACAATAAATAAGATTAAACTTCAGTATGCAGTTACACCATATAATCGTGTAATGGTTAAGGACCCTCTCTACACAAGTGCAAACTTTTTAGGGGGACATTGAGAAAAATATATTGTATCGTTCTAAAACAACGTTCTTTTAGAAGAAGAGATACAAGAATTAGAAATCATCAGATATTTCAGTGATTCTAATGAAACTGATGAAAAACTTTATACCGCAAAATCTGAATTTGAAGAAGTTAGAAAACATATTAATGGTCTGTTTGTAAGACCAAAAGCTAAATGGGTAGAACATAAAGGTTACTAAGTAATTCTACCTATTCCCACTTTTTAAAAATCATGTAGAAAATAGTAAGATTTTATGTGGGAATAGGTGGAATATATGTTCTTAAATTTAGGTATTAAGTTGCTTTTTTGCATAAGATCTTTTCATTACTTAAAAAAATCCTAAACACATATTTTCTCATAGATGTATGCAATATTTTCTGTCTTAAAATATACAAAATACAGGTAAATCTAAACATATTTGCAAATGGGAATAGGTGGAATTGATATTTTTAAAAAGCGAGAATAGATAGAAGACATCGAATATATATGGTAAGAAACTTAAAAATCTATTTATGGAAACGGTTTAAAAATAAACTCGCAACAAGAAAGCCTTAAAGAAATTGAAAATTTTAATTTAAAAAAATTATACTCCTCCTGTAATAACACTTTACTGGATATAAATTTAGATAAATTAAAAATTAAGGATAACATTCACTTGAGTCAGCTTCCAAATAAGAGGGTCTGATAACCAAGGAAGAAGCATCACTTGCATTGAAAAATATGAAAATGTATTGAACAAGACTTAAGAATATCTTAAATTTAGCTGTGATTATTAGATGGATTTAACTTTTATATAAAAATGCCACATTATGTGTTTTGCAGAATAGTATTTTTCCCAGATTCCCAGATTCTTTTGCATAGGTAGAGAGTGTCATCAATGAGACCCTGTCTCTCCACACATTTTCAATCTTTGTGGGGGTTAGGTTCGAACTCCAGTACCAAAAACTTTTCTTCCAAACACCTCCACTTTCCCCATTTTTAACCTATACTAAGGCGTATCTGTGGAAAGTGGGGGGGGGGGGGGGCTAAACTTCAGGAGATATGTTCAATGACTATACTAAGTATATATTTGAAAAAAAAGTGGGGGGGGGGGGGGGTTAAGCCCTCCTAGCCCTCCCCCCACGCCTATGAGCTATTGGACTATACATTCCTACATATATTCCGGTTCTTTGTCGTGATGATTCCGGCTGTAAATCATAATACAATTTCTTTCTATCTAAGCTTTATAACCAAACTGTATGTGTTACAAAATTGACAAGAGATTTAGGTTTGCAGAATGACTTGAGCTGAAAAGACCTTTTTCAAACTTAAAATACTTAAGTTAAGATTCAAATCTCAAATGGGTCAATTGTAAGATCATACATAGGATTCATGGAACTTGTACCTCATTGTTTTTATCTAAAATCAAAGATAATCCACTATGCTGTATCTGTAATCTAGAGCCAGAAACTTTGAAGCATCTTTTTTATCACTGTGTTTCTGCTCAGGGAATATGGAATTGTTTAGAAGAATGGATTTTACAAAAAAAAACTGTAAAAAATATTAACTTATACCCAATTTCTGTTATGTAAGGTATTCCTGGCAAAGAAAACACATCTTTAAATGTTATTATCTTGCTTGTAAAAAAGCATGTATACCAAAATTCAAGAAATTGTAAAAACCTTTGATGTTCAACGAAGTTAAAAATATAACACGTAAATGTATTATAGTTTGGAAAAATACATGCTTGCATTAATAAATATATTAAATATACATTGTATATGGAAGACACCCGGTTCAAAAAGAGATTGATATTGTTAGTCAATCTATTTGAATAATAATCAGCTTTATAACATTCATAAAGAAACATTTAAATTTTTACTTTTGTTTGCTTTTTTTTCTCTTTTTTCTTGTAGTGATAGTAAACATAATGTATTTTGTATACACACATATATATTTGTGTTTATACTGAAAAAAACAAAACTTTTTTGCATTTTACATATATGGGTGATACTGAAATGGATAAGTGAGCACTGGGTGAAAAAAGTGGTTTCCCATCATGGGAAACTTTATGGAAACCACATGGAAACCTCAAGTTTACATCATGTTTCCCAGTGGTTTCCGTAGCGGATGCTAGGTTATTCCGCCAAGTTTCCGTGACACGGAAACCCCCTACGCTCCGATTCCATAAGGTATCCCGAACCACGGAAACCTCTGTAAACCTGAAGTTTCCCGAACATTCATGTAGTTTCCCGTAATGGGAAACCTGAAGATTCCACTGGTTTCCAGAATCAGGAAACTTGATGGAATCGGAGCATAGGGGGTTTCCGTGGAATGGAAACTTGGTGGAATCTTTAGGTTTCCTTTTGCAGGAAACTACATGGAAGCTCCGGAAACCTCACGATTCCTAAAGTTTCCTTGACTCAGGAAACCATATGGAATCGGAGCATAGTGGTTTCCGTGGAATGGAAACTTGATGGAATCTTTAGGTTTCCTTATACGGGAAACTACATGGAAGCTCGGGAAACCTCACGATTCCTAAAGTTTCCTCGACTCAGGAAACCATATGGAATATGAGCGTAGTGGTTTCCGTGGAATGGAAACTTGATGGAATCTTAAGGTTTTCTTTTATGGGAAACTACATGGAAGCTCGTGAAACCTTATGATTCCTGAAGTTTCCTTGACTCAGGAAACTACATGTATATGGAACTTGTGTAGCACTTTCTGTGTGGCGGAAACTTGGTGGAATTATCTGGAGTCCCATTCCTGGTGGAAATTACTGGGAAACTTCAAGATTCCCTAATTTTCTAAAGGAAGCAATGTGAAATAATGCGAATTCTTTTAAAAATCTATCAAAAAAATTTATTACATGTAAAAGAAAAAAGCATTACCATTTTATATGTTTAATAATTCATTTGATGTACAAAAACTGTAACTGTATTTTTCAATGATATCAAAATATTAAATAAATTCATATATCTTAGATAAACAATGGAACAGTCTTTCACATTTAAGTCCATTCATAAGGGTCATTAAGTACTTCTTTCAACATCAGTTTCCTGGTTTTCTTCACATCACCTATGATCTGCAATATTCATACAAAATTATTATATGATGTCAGAATTATAATGCTTGAATATAACTTAGAAATCTGAAAGATCAGTCAATGTCCTTTAATATACCAATATCAATAATTACTTTCCATGACCATGATACATATGATTTCAGCATTTAATGTATCTCTTTAATATTTAATGCTTTATGATAAGTGAAAAATAAATAACATAATATAAATAATGTTTTCAGCCTTATTATGTCATTGAGAATATATTTCTAAATGTATCTCATACTAAGAACCCTGCTTTAAGTTCGATTAGTTTGAGAGAAAACATACCCTTTATAATAACAAAAATATTAGGGAGAGATTTTTTTTTAAATTTTGATATTCGACCTAGAAATTGGTTGAAGATCATTGCAGACCCACCACCACATTGCACAAAAGCTAGATTACACCATATACATATATAGATATACAGTAGATTTTGATACTGACCTTTGACCTAGGAAATAAGTTCAAGGTCACTCTTCATCCTCTATCCACAGGCTCTCTGTAGTTTAAGTTTGAGAGAGAAATATGCACAGAACAAGTGATTTCAGATGGAGTGATGGGTAGACACTGTCTTAGGGCATCCACAGAACAAGACCTAAAAATAATGCAATATATATGTATTACAGTATATATACACATGTACTTGTATGTTAATGATTTATTATATGCTGCATTGGACACATATGATTTTATCATGGTTTAAGTATACATGTATCTTATGAGTAATTTTATACCGGTATTGCATGTACGCTCAGTTTATTTAAGAAATAAATAACAAGTTTATAAACTTCAATGGGAGAGATACCACAAATGTATATATATTATAAACAAGTAATTTAATTTTTTTTTTTTACATATCTTGACCAACATTATTTACATCCATTCATCATGTTCATGAATTGGCTGATCAAAATTCAGTCAGTTTTAGATCTATATGATATACCATAAAGGACTTTCACATTTACAAAAGTTATTCCCCTTCGCAGGGTCGATCTGGGGTCAACCGGCTTTAGACGCTTTTTTCCCTCTTTAACCGTATCAACTTTGAGGGACAATATCTTAGAAATATTTAAAAATCTGTATGAACATATTCATTATGATTTTCATGTTGCCCCCATACTCTGGCAATACAGATACAGATCGTAATTGTCCAATATTTTTGAAGATTGAAAATATTAACAAGTAACTTACAAAGGACAAAGTGGGAAAAATGAGCGATACGCCGACAATTGGAAAAAACTCTTAGGAATGTGAAATTCGTCTATTGGTGATGACAATTCCTGTTTTAATGTCACTGAAAAATTAAGAGACATTAAGAATTTAAGCCCTATTGTCATACACTCATGCTGTTTTTTCATCCATATAACCTTTTAGTATCATAAAATTTACCAAAATTTAATACTTCAAATAATTTCATTGAATATCTATAAAATAAAGGAAACTCTAAAAACTTAGTGACTTGCAAAAATTATTCCTTGGAGAGAAAAAAATCTATCATTTTTCATATAAATATGTGCATATTAAATGAGCATTTTTTTATTCATTTAGAACATATGGTATGTGCCTCATTTCCCCAAGAAATTTTCAAAGACAATGGACTATCTGTAAGCAGAAATCATTGCTGTTTACTTACATTGGAAAAATTTATGAAAATAATTAATTTCCTATTTTTTTTATTTTAAATAATGCTAAAAATAATTTAATCTATTAAAAATAATCTAACTGACTGTAAAATAACATTTTTCATAATCTTATCTATGGGCAGATCACTCTAACTTCATAAAACTACCTGATATTAAAGCAGAACTCTTTAGTGTGCAGTTTTTAGAGCTTCCTTTAAGTAATCAAAATACTGACCAGCAAGAAATCAGTTAATAAGCATTTCCTTTTTTTTCATTCAAATTTTTGGAGAGATCTCAGAGTTTTTTCCTGTTCAATTCAGGTTCAAGACGACAAAGTTTTATTGAAGTGTATGTATTAGAGAACTGATTGTATGTCAATCATAGCAATACACACATAACATGGAGGGGGCAAATTGTTTCAGCCCTAGCTTTTACATAAAACTTCTTGTAGCTCACAGCTGATATATCACAGTTCAGTATTTAAATAAAATTTAGAATCTTTTTTTTTTTTCAGGCAATTGTCATATTATATACATACTAATCATGAATGAATTACCACTTACCAAATGACCACATCCTGAATCATCATACATTTTCTATTTTATCTCACTGGTTTTCTTTTAAAGTCACACAGTTTTCTTCTCTCTGAAATGATAAATTATGTCCAGGTACTATTGCATTCTAATCTAAACTAATTATGTAATAGCATTAGCAACAACCGGGATGGAAGAAAAAATAACCAGAAGTCTCTGTCGAGACTGTAGCTCTACTGGTTTGTACTTATCAAAAACTGATGCACAGAATTATGTATCTTAGTATAGTCTACTTGTGTGCAAAGTTATATTTAGATCAGGCTAAAATTTAAGGAGGAGTAGTGTTTGCAGACAGACGGACAGACAGACAGAAGGCTGGACGCCGGACGTATTACTATCGCATAAGCTCTTCTGGTCTCTGACCAGTATAGCTAAAAACAAGATGCGCTTGTGAAACACAGCAACAAAGTTCGAAAATGCAATTTTTTTTAGCATACAGGTCACAGTCAAGATCACATAATCATTGTCCTTGTTGCCATTTGAAAGCACTTCATTAGTGGAGTATGCATACTATCTATGAAGCCACAATCTCGTATAGTTCTAAAGTTATGGTGAAGGTTTAAGTTGACAACAGACACTCAGACAGACACACAGATATACAGTAAGGGCAAAAGTTTGAACATTATAACTTGGTATACACACAGCCACTTCGAAGTATCAAGGGTAAAATTCACAGCACAGCGGGACTGCATTTTGACTTCGAGGGATCAAGGGTTTCGAGAGATCAGGAGTTCGAGAATCAAGAGCAAATCTGCTTAGTTATATAGTGGAAAAAATCGGGACCGGAGACTCACTTTAAGCGATCAAGAACTTCCGAGAAATCGAAGTTCAAGCCATCAAGAGTTACCTGTATAAACAGATATAAGTAGCATGTTTTTATTTGCAATTTTGACCTAATGACAGCTAAATCTGTTCAGTAAGACAATACCGTGTACATGTATGTAAGTAGTTTTATTGTGCATGATTATTTACTTATTTTCTTGATCTTCTCAACTTGAAGTGTTCTGTATTTTATTACCAAGTTTGTAATAGACATAATGAAACATACCCTTTTCCACATCACATCCTGTATCAGACCTTCGACCAATATCAGCCCTAGGGCCTCTGTCCCTATGGCTGATATTGGTGTCTCGGGCTAGGATGTGATATGGAAAAGAGTATGTATTATTCGCTATACATTGACCTACTCAGGTCAATAATAGTGAAAAAACTGAGAATTCAAGCTGATGATTCATTTGCATTTCTTGACATACTATCAATATTAATTCACTAATTAGGCTTTTCTTTTTTTACATCTTCATCTCAACAGGTTAGACATTACCAAAAAAATCTTTTGAGCAGTAAACTATTTCAATAAACAATAAAACAAACCTAATCTCTTCAGAAAAGTGGACAAGCTTTCACCTACGTTCACTTTTTTATGTATATTTTTCCTATCATCGTCATGCATATGATTAAGGGTTATGCTATTCGCTACAATCTATTCCAACTGTTCTGATGAGGATATCCACAGGCACCTGAAAGGATAAAACGTATCGCTGAAATAGGACCTTGTTATAAGGAAAGTTCCAAAAAACAAAATAGTTCGTCATTTTGCACAGTAATAAAACATTCTAGGAACTCTTCAGGTATTAAAGGCACAAAAGTAAATTCATCAATATCAATACGGAGACCTCAGGTCACCTTATATATTAATTGAATTTTAAATGATAGACAATTTTCTTTGTCTTACTCCAAAATAATCATATTTATAACTTTATATAGATGAACTTTCTTATATATATATTAGCAGAAACATGAAAGTATAAAGGATGACCAGAGGTAACCTCATATTTTACATCAATAGGGGACCAAAGATCACCTTACATTGTACATCAGTAGGGGTACCAGAGGCCACCTTATATTTAACATCGTTAGGGAGACCAGTGGTCACCATATATTGTACATCATCAGAGGTATCATAGGTCACATTACATTTTAAATCAAAAGGGGTCCTAAGGTAATCTTTTATTGCACATAATGGGGGGACCTGGGGATACCTTATATCGTACATCATTTGGGGGACCAGAGGTCACCCTATATTGTACATCAGTAGGGGGACTACAGGTAACCTAATATTGTACTGTTCATCAGTAGAGGGACCAGAGGACACCTTATATTGAACATCAGTAGGGAGACCAGAGGGCACCTTATATTGTGCATTCGGGGGGGGGGGGGGAGGACACCTTATACTATACATCTGTAGAGGGACCAGTGGACACCTTATATTGTACATAAGTCGGGGGACGAGATGACACCTTATATTGTACATCAGTACGGGGACCAGAGGTCACCCGATATTTTACATTAGTCTGGGAACTAGTGGTCACCTAATATTGTACTATACATCAGTAGAGAGACCAGAGGTCACCTTATATTGTACATCAGTAGTAGGACCATAGTCATCATATATTGTACATCAGCAGAAGGACCAGAGGTCACTTTATATTGTACGGGGACTAGTGGTCACCTAATATTGCACTGTACATCTGTAGCTGGACCAGAGGACACCTTTTATTTTACATTAGTAGTAGGACCAGAGGTCATCTTATATTGTACATCAGCAGAAGGAACTGAGGTCCTCTCTTGCATATCAGTAGGGGGACCAGAGGACACCTTATATTGTACATCAGTGAGGGAAAAGGGGTCACCTTTTATTGTACATCAGTAGGGGGACCAGAGGACACCTTAATTTGTACATCAGTAAGGGGACCAGAGGTCACCCGATATTTTACATTAATACGGGGACTAGTGGTCACCTTATATTGTACTGTTCCATCAGTAGAGGGACCAGAGGTCACCTTATATTGTACATCAATAAGGGGACCAGAGGACACCTTATACTATACATCTGTAGGGGACCAGAGGACACCTTATATTGTACATCAGTAGGGGGACCAGAGGTCACCTTATATTGTATATCAGTAGGAGGAACAGAGTTCACCTTATATTGAACTTCAGTAGGGGGACCAAAGGTCACTTTATATTGTACATTAGTAGGGAGGACCAGAGGTCACATTAGATTAAACATCAGAAGGATGACCAGAGGTTACATATGTACATCATCAGAAGTACCATAGGTCACCTTATATTGTACATCAGTAGGGGGACCAGAGGTCACCTTATATTTAACATCAGAAGGTGTACCTTATATTTCACTTAAGAAGGATGGCCGGGGGTCACCTTATATTGTACGGGGACTTGTGGTCACCTAATATTACTGTACATCTGTAGCAGGACCAGAGGACACCTTATATTAAACACCAGAAAGGGGACTAGAGGTCACCTTATATTGTACATCATTAAGGGGATGAAAGGTAACTTTATATTGATCATCAGCAGTTGTACCAAGGGTAACCTTATATTGTACATTAGTAGTGTGACCAGAGGACAGCTTATATAGTACATGAATACGTACGGGGACCAGAGGTCAACCGATATACTAGTGGTCACCTAATATTGCACTGTACATCAGTAGAGAGACCAGAAGGAATAGAGGTCAGCTTATATTGTACATAAGTAGGGGGACCAGAGGTCACCTTATATAGTACATAAGTAGGGGGACCAGAGGTCATCTTATATTTAACATCAGTAGGATGACCAGAGGTCACCTTATATTGTACATCAGCAGGGGAACAAGGGTCACCTTATATTGTACATCAGTAGGGGGACCAGAGGACACCTAATATTACACTTTAGATCAATAGGGGGACCAGAGGGCACCTTATATTGTACATCAGTAGGAGACATCAGTTTGGGGACTAGAGGTCACCTTATATTGTATATCAATAGGGGGACCAGAGGTAACCTTATATTGTACATCAGTAGGGGGCCAGAATACACCATATATTGTACATTGGTAGGGGGACTAGGGGTCACCTTATATTGTATATCAGTAGGGTGACATCAGTAGGTGACCCAGAGGACACTTTTTATTTAACATCAGTAGGGGACTTCAGTAGGGGAACCAGAGGTCACCTTTTATCACCACTTTACATCAATAGGGGGACCAGAGGTAACCCTGTATTGTACATCAGTAGGGGGACCAGAGTTAACCTTATATTGTACATCAGTAGGGGACCAGAGGTCACCTTATATTGAACATCAGTAGGGGGACCAGAGGGCACCTTATATTGTACATCAGTAGGGGACATCAGAATGGGGACTAGTGGTTACCTTATATTGTATATCAATAGGGGGACCAGAGGTAACCTTACATTGTACATCAGTAGGGGGGCCAGAGGACACCATATATCGTACATTGGTAGGGGGACTAGGGGTCACCTTATATTGTACATCAGTAGGGGGACCAGAGGGCACCTTATATTATACATCGGTAGGAGGACCAGAGGACATTTTATATTGTACATCAGTAGGGGGGCCAGAGGAGACCTAATATTACACTTTAGATCAATAGAGGGACCAGAGGGCACCTTATATTGTACATCAGTAGGGGACATCAGTAGGGGAAAAAGATATCACCTTATATTGTATATCAATAGGGGACCAGGGGTAACCTTATATTGTAGATCAGTAGGAGGACCAGAGGACACATGCATATATCGTACATTGGTAGGGGAACAAGGGGTCATCTTATCTTGTACATCACTAGGGGGGCCTGAGGTCACTTTTTATTGTATATCAGTAGGGGGACCAGAGGTCACCTTATATTGCACATCTGTAAGGAGATCAAAGGACACTTTATATTGTACATCAGCAGGGGGACCAGGGGTCACCTTATATTGTGAATCAGTAGGATCAGAGGTCACCTTATATTGTACACCAGTTGGGGGACCAGAGGTCACCTCATATTGTACATCAGTAGGAGGACCAGAGGACACCATATATCGTAAATTGGTAGGGGAACTAGGGGCCACCTTATATTGTACATCACTAGGGGGGCTGAGGTCACTTTTTTTGTATATCAGTAGGGGGACTGGAGGTCACCTTTAATTAAACATCAGAAAGGGGACCAGAGGTCACCTTATATTGCACATCAGTAAGGAGATCAAAGGACACTTTATATTGTACATCAGCAAGGTGACCAGGGGTCACCTTATATTGTGAATCAGTAGGACCAGAGGTCACCTTATATTGTACATCAGTAGGGGACCAGTAAGGGGACCAGAGGTCACCTTATATTATACATTAGTGGGAGGACTAGTGGTCATCTCAT